TTGGAGGCAAGTTAAATATACTTTCTACACATTCTGATTGAAGGGTTATAAAGATATGTGTTATTTTTTGTTATTAAATGCTCGAGAAGTCGCTTCGCGTTAAAACGTAAGAGAAATCTATGAAGAAATGAATTATCACGTGCAAAAGTTATTATAAGAGTTATTTCACGAGTTAAATTCAGTGGGGATATTCTAAAGAAAGACGGTCTTCTTGAATAGTCATTTAAAATACGTGAATAGACAAATCGAAAAACTAATATCTGTAAAACATGCTTTTGAATAAGTTTAATTTGGTTTGAATGTAGACTAAAAAGGAGACCAAATAGGAGGTTTTTCCTTAGTTTTATCATGAGCAATAAAAGATAATATACCTAGATGTGTTATTGTTTATGGCAGAATAAAATCTTTAGTTTTTTATTGACAAAGTCCATTATTAAACTATCATAATGCACCTAAAATGTGATCTATTTATCCGTATTAATCCCGAGATCTATCATTCATTCTTTACAATCAATAACTTAGTCATTAATTTTGTGGTTAAGACTTTAACCAAGGTATACAAGGTTTTTAGCCATGAATGGTATAAAAGAACATATTTTTTTATTATATTAAAAGAAATTCTTTTTATTCCACTAGTTTAACGTTTATACCAGTGAAAGTACCTACTATGTTTTTCATTTGAAATATTTTTTATTATGATTTCAAATCATTAGCGTCAAGTAAAAATTTACGATTATTTTTTTTATAAGTAAACTATATCATACGTGAGATTAATAAATAATGAACCCTAATATTATAATTGGGGAACCTCAGATGTAATCGTCGTTGGCGATGACACGAAATATATGAAAGTGACTGTTTGGGATCAGATAGATCGGTATTAATTTATTCAGAATTCTAAATACTTTGGTATTCTAAATACCATGAGTTTGTCATTTGGAGAAACCTATATAGTGTCAACTTGTTTAACTTGAGTAAAAGCTCTATAGCCGTTATTTCAAACAGAGAAATTACTAACAGTGGGGCGTTTTCTTTACTAACCCATGCTAATCATCTCAAACATACGACTTGAAAGAGCCATATACTCGTAGCAATGATACGATAATTTTCACAATAAGTATTGTCACACCCCTAAGAAATAAAAACAATATGAGCCATTTTTCACTTAATGGGAAGATTTTTTTTGTGATTTAGAAAATAGAATTGAAAAATCAACAATTCATTCATAAATATTTTTTTAATGGGAGTCTTAATCTTAATCTTACAATGTAATTTTGGCTGACTTAAACGTTACGTAAGGAAAAGTCGCTAATCCCTACTAATATTATTAATGCGAAAGTAACTCTGTCTGTCTGTCTGTTACGTTTTCACGCCTAAACCACTGAACTGATTTTTATGAAATTTGGTACAGAGATAGAGTTGACCTTGAGAAAGAACATAGGATAGTTCTTATCCCAGACTTTTGAAAGGTTCTCTTGGGACCGCCATATAACTGAAATCAACGCGGGCGAAGCTGCGGGCGAAAAGCTAGTTGATAATATTTGTGAGTCATACTTTTTGAATTAAAGTATCTTGATGTATAATTGTCATCAGCCTATTAACGCCCACTGCTGAGCATAGCCTCTTCTCACATGTATAATTAGAAAAGTCATAAAAGATCACCAACGTCAGTTTATTAAGAGTAAATTTAGTATTATTCATCATAATAGAATTGACAGATTTGTCGTTATTAATGAATAAGCTGGGATTATCTGATTATGTATTTTCTTTTTCTGAATATATTTTTTCTAACATTTTCTGGTTTTTTTTTTTTACTTCTGGACCTAAGCATAATAGTTCTGTTGGACATATACTCTTGATAGTATGTTTTGTCATACTTGGGAGGACTAAATTTAGTAGTCGTCAAATTATACATATTTGAATACTATAATTATTCAAAAATATTCTATCAGAATGTAAAGTAAATTTCTAATTTGAGGATAAAATGGTATCATTACTAGGCTGTGAACATTTGTCGCTAAGTTAAATATGGCAATTTAAAATTATTTTTAAATAAAGAACTTTACTTTTTTGTTAGACATAAATGAATAATAATAATATAATAAGATAACAACGACATAAATGAATTGTAACAAAAAGACATTAGTTTGTAGTTACAATCACTTGTTAATAATAAAGTAAACCATAAATCGTTAAAACGATTATCCGATGTATAATTATTAACAGGCATGAGATACAGACATACTCACCATTTTATAGGCCGCTCGTGGATTTACAATCTCTTCGATAGACTAAGTACCTGTAACCAAACAATCGATAAGTAAAAACACTAGCTTTCATGACATAGCTGCGTGATTTCTGCAGAAAAATGATTTGCATTTCTTTGTACAGCGTTTTCTTTATAAGACCTTCAATGAAGCTGAAATCGGATTTCAAATCCTTTGACTTCTGACAATGATTAATAGGAAAGATAGTAGGTCTGCATGATAAGCTTGTAAAAGTAAGGATGTCTTTCAACATTTGGATGTTCGATATTTGGGGCAGATCATTATCACATTCTTCATTAAAAAGTCTATTCAAAAAATTAAAAATTTACATTCTTACAAAAAAAATTTATGATTTTTTTTAATGGTTTACACTGACCGAAAATCTCATATATAACAATAATATATCAAGAAATAAAAAATAAATATGGCGTTTTTTTTATTTTCTCGTGCCCGAAGTTTTATATATTTTATTTACGCTATGAATTTTATTCCTCTCGTTATTGAAAATTTTTTGAACAAAAATTTATTTTAACAATCATCTACGAGGTTTAAAATCATTGTCTGATATACTTATGTTATATAAATTGAGGTTTAAACTATAGATAGAATTTACTGTTATACATAATAATTTAAACTGAAATTTTTATCACCAGAGTATTCAAAAACATCCAACTTTATACACATTGTTTGAGAAGATTTTGGTATATAATGAATTTTGGTATATATATTGTATATAATGAATTGATATATTTACTTTTATCTCCTGTCGTAGTTTTTTACAATATAAGATTTCTTTTAAACAAACATTTTTTTAAATTACATTAAATTGTAAGGGAATGTTGAAAACAAATTAAATATGTATGGAATTCACTTGCAATAAAAATACTAAGTATAAATAGTACTGCTACTGTAGCTTGTCATACTGTATTAGAACCACACAAAAAAGAGTGTCGGAAGACATATGAAAGATGAATCCAGACGTAAAATTCATTTTGACAAAATAAATATTCGCTAGTCAAGACAGAAATATTATTTTAGTATAAAATTGTGAGTCTATTACAGTCAAAAAACATTCATAATTTAAAAAGATGATGTCTGGCAATTATCCAACACCTGGAATGTACTCATGAAAAATATTAAACGTCCATGCCCATACTGCAATGTTTGAAGTATACTTATTGCGTATTGCAAAGATGCGGAAGTTTTCACGAGAAAATAAAGAAATCGTGGGGGGTAGATGGAAAGTAACATGACTTGCTGACATTTTAATCTCTTCATCCTTTGAACAAGATTACTGCAAAATATTGAAACGTCGGAATTAAAATCAAAGATTTAGCGTTGGACATGTGACTTAAATACGAAAACATAGTTTTATTTACATATATGAGACTTCAACAACATTAACGCACCAAGTGTTCATTAACAAACAAAAAAAACAATCAAGAGGTATTTATAAGGTGATCAAAACAGTCAAAGTTAAAATGAGTTCAGATGTTAGTGCAAGTGTTTAACATAACTGTTGTTGTGATCTTATTGTATTATAAGATATATAATAATTACATAATAAATAATGCAAATATGCTTTAAGTATGAAGTCTCGTTTTTTAAATATTTTATGATTAATATAGTGAACATTGAGAATCTCGTTTATTGGAGAAATAAGAAAGAAAGTTGTTGTAGAAAAACAATACAGTTTAAATTTGACCTCACTATCATATCACTTTTATATTTGGATGAATGAATTTCAATTTTACCATAGATTCAATAATATTATATAAAATATTATACATTACATAAAAAAAGCAAAAAATTATTTTGCTACTTTTAAACATAGACTATAATTCTTTATGTAATGTTAATTTCTTCAGCAAATTGTAGGCCACAATTCTGGTCAAACACATGTTTTGTTATCGTTTGAATGATAAAAATGCTATGTATGTAAAGTAAAAACAATTGTATCTTTTTAAAATAAGTTCACATAAAAAAAACGTCTTTTATTCGTATTTCTTCTTTACATCCCATATTTTTAATTCCTTTTAAACATCATATCCTTTTCATACAAAACGTTTGCGCACAATTTAATTTATTTGGTCTCATCAATTAAAAATCAGAACTTTGAAAGCGTTAAACTTAAGGCGCCGCTCTGAGAGAAACGAATAATCCTTTCCAATTTGACTCTATTCTTTGTATGAACAATAGGTTCCATGAAGAATAATGATGGCTTAAAACAAAACAGGATTTGAGACTGGCTTGATGCCTTAAGATTTACAAACTTTTCCTTAAATTAATAACTTGATTGACGAATATCTAGCAGGAGTAAAAAGTTATTTTGAATACATTTTATGTATAAATATCTATTAAAAATAATAAAATTTAATGCACTGTTCAATTTAAATAATAAATAATATAATATAGCTATAAGAGATAAATGTATTTACTCATTTTTTAACCTATTATACTTATGCCAAGTTGAAATGTAAGCATCTGAAGCATATTGAGTAATTCTGAGCAATGCTTAAAAATGTTGGATCTTAAAATTCTCTGGCTTTTGACAGTGATTAATGAGAAAGAAGATCGGCGTGCAGTAGAATAAGCTTCAGAAAGTAAAAGCCATTTTCCGACATTAAGATGTTTATAATGTCGGAATAATTAAATGTTCAATTTAAAATTGTTAAAAACTTTAAAAATATTCTTTTAAATTGTTCATTAGTATAAAAGGGCACATCTATCTCATCAGGCTATTTCTAAATATACATATAAAGACATAACATTCATAAGATTACTTTATGAATTATTATGGGAGCAAATGTGGATCTAATGACATAATTTTAAGCACCAGTAATTTGTTTAGTTTACGTATTTTCATGCTTTCTATAGAAATATTAAGGAATTCAAATCTAACTTGAAAAGTTTAAAATTGAGGTTCTCTCAATCATCGAATAAAAAGCTATGACAGCAACTTCATATCGATCATCTTTGAGAGGGTGGCACTGCACCGGACTAGCAAATAATATGCTAGCTGCAGTCAGTTTTTCTCTTTTACGAGAAATTTTTTTATATACCACAAGCGCATCTAAAGGCTAAGATATATATATCATATTATTGCTAAATACTTAGTATTTTATGAAAAGTAACTCACAACAAAATGCTGTTATGTAATGTTTAATATAGTTTTAAAATAGACTTACGAATACGTTATCATAATTAATAAAAATAAAAACTATATCCCATATATTGTCAGAGGATTTAAAACCATGCTTTTGGAGGCTTAACGGTTTAAATTTTTTTGTCAGTAGTCATCAACAACTCTTCCTCTTCTTGAATGAAAATCTGATATAATATTTTTTTAAGCTGGAATTAATTTTATTTCATAGTAGAGAGACGAAACCTCTTAGCATTCGATGGATTCACCGTGCGGGTGCCGGGTCCATCGCGTTGCAGGGAGAGGAGCTTCAACAGTGCCTGGGACTTGCGACCCAGGTGTAGGTTTAAGGGGCCCCTTAACTAACGCGCGTTATACGCTCACCTCCACTGTCCAAGTTCCTCTCCCTACCTAACCAAATTTGAAAAGAACCTACTAGGGCTGCCTTCGACGTACGTTCTAAGAATGAATTAATGTTAGTTCTGGACAGGCCCAAGTCTTTTAGTAGATTATAGAGAGATTTAGCTGTTATACCTCTCGCTCCCACCTCTACCGCGTACAAATCAACGACGAACCTATTTCGAGTTAGTTCGTTAGTGAGCTCGAAATACTTATTGACCTTGATGGCATGGTCTTTGGGGATGTTGGTTTCCCAAGGCACCGTAAGCTCTATCATCACAACGCGCTTTAAAATACGCGAATATAGAAATATGTCTGGTCTGGAGGCCGACGCACAAATATCCTCGGGGATTTTGTATTGTTTCTCATACGTATCCATCATGATAGTCCAATCCGAAGCCGCTTTAAGGATAGAGTAAGGCTTGACGTTTGATTTTATAGCCCTGGTGCCCTCTCTCACAAAACCTATTGATCGCTCGTTTGTGGTTATTTCCCTTTGCGCTCTGGCTACCGAAAGACTAACCGCTTCACGTATGATCTCTAAAACCCTATCGTGACGACGCGAGTATTGACCGCTGTCCAGGAGAACCTTACATCCCACCAGCAAATGCTTGGCAGTTCCAACTGCCTTTCCGCAGATATAGCAAGTTTTTTCGGTACCTTTACCCCATCTTACTAAATTACTCTGATCTGGGAGAGTCATCTGGAACGCATTGAGATAAAATTTTAGCAAGGCTGGCGACCAGTCATGAATTAGGGTGCGCCATTTTAGTGCTAGTGGAATGCAAAAATCTCCTATGTCTAACCAATCGTTCTGCATTTCTAAACTCATTGCATGGATCTTGTATTTATCGTTCTCGTCTTGCCGAATAAAAGACTTCAATATATCCGTATCTTGGACTTTCCTACTTGATCCTAACCCTACTCTGTTATTTTGCGCTCCGATCATAAATTGTTTATGGAATTGAAGTCGTGACTCTAGCTCTGGGGCATCATTGTCTTTTGGGAGTGGTGTAACGACGTGAAAAATGAAATTTTAAATTATTTTCGTAATTTTGTATGAATTATTCTTAGACAATTATATAATATAAGTATTCATCATATTGATGAATACTTATATTTCAATAGTACACTAACATAATTAATAAAAAAAATGGAAAAAAAAACCAAATCATTAATATTGGAAACAATTTAAAGAAAATATGAAAAAAGTCGTAAATCATAAAAGAATTAAAAATAAAATTGGTTATCTAAAAAAATTGTTTAGTCAATGGTGGCCTAGTGGTTAAAGAGCCCGCCTCTCGTTGACGAGGGCGCGGGTTCGTTCCTGACACGTACCAATGTGATTTTTCCGAGTCATATGTACTTTCTAAAAGTATTTAGACAACAATTGACAAACTGTTAAGGTAAACATCATGAGGAAACCTGGACTTATAATTTCACAATTATAAGTTTGAAATCACCAACCCGTCTTGAGCAAGCGTGGTGATTAATGCTCAAAACCTTTTCCATGAGAGAAAGAGGCCTTTGCTCACCGGTGGGCTCCGATAGGCTAAAAAAATATATAAGAAATATTATTAATATTCCTTTGCAAAAAAGAAAATAGCAAAGGGAAAATACATGCTAGAAATCTATCTAAGAAATAATGAATACCATTAAAATAATTATAAATGGGTTAAAGGTACAACTTTTCTTGATACTTTCGTTTCTATTAGGGATTCGATACTTTTTTATTCAGCACTTTTTATTGCGAGGACTTAAAAGTTATTGTAATTAAAAGTATTCTTTGTGTTAATTCAGGTCAAATACAATATAACTTTCATTCCCAGTTTGAGTTGAGGTCCGATAATTTGTAGCGGTTCGAAGACTGCGGTTATGGTACCAGTTATTTCTGCTCTACTGACAAAAGGTTGCGTTAAGATACCATGAAGGGTTTATTAAGTACGTTCAGAGATTTTACAGGATTCAATGTATCTACAGTCCAGGAATAGTTCCTCAATAAATAACGTAACTGAGCTCCATATACATATAACTCGATAATAAATGTAAGCAAACAAAATTATATGTTATAAACAAAAATCTTATATAAAACATAAGTAACGAATTGTGAATGAGTATACTTTAAATTAAATTATACCCAATATAATCTTTGTTTTACCTGAATGTAGCAGTCGTTGTTATCGTAGTAAAAACATAAGTAACATACTTTCATGAACACAAAGCCGAACCCGTCTGGTTAGAAATACAAAATGTGAAATATAGCGATACAAAATCCTGGCATTTAGCCAGACATGCAAAACTTGGTGATACCCAAATAATAGAAGTTTGTTATTAAGATATTGTATAATCTTTAGATATATAAACCAAATATTCATTTACAATGAATAACAACAAACTAATAATTCATTCATATTTTTTTCTCCCTTATTTATTGGTTTATCTGAATCTTGATCTTTTTCATGCTATGAGATATATATAATTTTTTCTAAAATTAAAATAAATACAGTCTGATCTTAAGCAGTTTCTAAAATATAATTATCAAAGCAAACTTAATGATTTGGTAAAACGAAATAAACGTAAATACTTATGATAGATATCTAAATGGTTCTTATCAGAAACGGCAGGTTTTGAATAAAAACACTGAAACTATCTCCATATTTCATCACATCAATTAATATTAAATTTCTAGGAAGTCAGTAATTCCGGAAACTTATACAAACTTGGCAAGTTGAAGCCTTCGGAAAACTCAATATGACTATCCCATAACACTTTTGTAACTTAGTCAAAAAAACTTGGCACTGACATTCGGATTTGATGGTTTCAAATTTGTGAATAAGATATATTTACATACGGTACATACATTTTGAAATTTTTAAGTTCCTTTTTACTTCCAAGTATTTTAAATTATGAACTCAAGAATTTTGCTTCGTAATTCTTTACACTTCAATATAAAGGATATGTATGCTTCCAAAACATTCCGATTGTAAAAAAAATATATTTGTAACTATTTTTGTATTTTAATATGAAATTGCAGAGCAGATGCGCTTCATATTTTGTTAAAGAATTCGCTCTTCGATCCAATAACCTGAGGCTTTTCATATTTTACTTTATTGATGTTATATAGTACCTAATTGAAGTTATTGAATTCTATTTATACTTCGTTTTGAGTCATTCATTAGAAAAGCTTTTGTCGCGTTTTTTTCGTAAATAGTATTCTCTATGCCCTTTATTGGATTTAACGGATAAAATTATTTTGTTTGTGTGAAAGGAAGAAAAATAAAACTGCACAATATTATACAGCTGTAGAATATTTTGTCGAAAAGCAAAAAGCTGTGTATGTATCGAAATGCATCCAAATCTTAAAAAGAGATACTTCAATTCATAATTTAAACATCATATCGATTTTATAAATTTTTAACACGATATAAAAAATAAACTTTAATATTTTATAATTTTATTGCAAATAGAACTATATAATTGCTTACATTTAAAATAGTTTTCATTTAATCTTAACTGCTCGCTCACATTCAAACTTTATTATTTATATTTTTTTATTGAAAAAAGTAGGTACATTTTTAATTTCTTATATATATAGACAAATTACATATTATGTAAACACAATATGTTAAATCTCTTTAAAAAAGGATACCTTTAATACTTATGTCACCTTATTATTAACGCTTATTATATAAAGGCTATTATAGGCCTAGGTTTAGAGTACATAATGTGTATGTATGTGTGTTAATGACTGTTTGTCTGTTTTCACTTTAAACTTTATTTATATAGCCATGCCACAAACGTATTGAGGAATTCCGAACAATACTCTAGAATGTCGGGTTTAAAAGCGTTGGTTTTTGACATTGATTAATGGGAAAGATAGTCGCTGTAGCGCGGGATAAGCTGTAAAAAGAAAGGCCGCCTGTCAGATATAAGGATGTTACTATTTTGGGTAAGTTTTAAATTAACTTCTCATTTTATATAATTGCGCTTAATTTGTAAATATGATTATATATAAAGTTATTTTGATTTTAGGAAGAAAAACGATTGCTATTTCCATTTTTAAGATATAAAACACAAATGGGTCTTAAAATAAATCTTAGTCATAAAAGTAATTTACTAAACAATAAGATTATTTATAATAAAATAAAAGATTATTCTGAAAACACGAGTATTTTACAGTTTTTGGCTGTCGCTCTCAATAATAAGTACATGATACGTAACTGACGAAAATTAATAGAATTATAAGTTTAAGAGTATCAGAACCATAACCTTGTTCACACTTTGGCTACATTCTAATGTTGAAATAAAATGCAAAACCAAACCCGACTTATTAAGACTACAAACTGTAGAGATAGGAAATTTTGGCTTTAAGCCAATCACACGGATTCCGAAGTTATCAAGATTGTTGAAAATATTTATATTAAATGTTTTATAACAATATCGAGATTTGATAACTTTATAAAAGATCACATTTATTTTATAATCCAGTAAGCCAACTGGACAGATATTTTTCCCTCATAATAATTATGAGGATAATAGGAGGCTATCATTTTAATCTAACTGACATTAATAATATATACTTTTTCGAACTAGAAATATGGGTGCGGAATTTTAAAATTAAGTCATAATTTAACCTTTTTAGCTGCGGATAGGAAAAAAAACATCAAATGTCACAAGTTAGATTAAACAAGTTTTCAAATTCGGGGACTGGTTATGTAGATACTCTACGTAATTCGTTTGCCGGTCTTACTTTTTATTTGGGAACTGTTCTGAAATAGGGAAATGTATAATATGACTCATGACCAAACTTTACTTTTAGTTCGTATTAAAATTAACAGAATTAAAATTTATGAAACATATTTAGAATTCAATAATTCTTTAAACATACAATTATGTTCATTTTATAATTATTTAATATGTACCTATTACAGATCGGATTAAAAATTTTAATTTTATTAGAAAAATAACGATTTAAAATAAAACTCCTAATCAATGAACCAGCAATAAATCGTGAAATAACTTTTTTGTTACAACGTTTGCTCATGTACTTGTGTTAACTCATTCCCAACAAACAGTCGGTCAGTCACTCTGGGGAAATCTAGCCACTGTTTGTTCAATAGATTTTTTTGCTATGAGCGAATAATCCAAACGTTGGAGCTATTTTTTAAGCAATAAACCTCTATTTTCCTGCGTTAATTCGTTCATGTCATTGTTTTATTCAATATAAAATGGTCTAACATATTTAACGTATTAAGATTTTTAATGTCATCATTACAAGTCGTTATATCCTACACCATGAATAAAAAGAGAATTTTAAAGGCTTATAATAATTCTGGTCCTAATGATGTAAAAAAACTGAATGACTGTTTGTTGGTTCATTCAAAGTGGAATAGTATTCTAGAATATACAAGATTTAGAGTACATCTATTATTATAATATTTTATCGGCAGCTCTTGCACAACTGTCCAAAAGACCACAGCAATCCACTTACACATATCGATGTTATATTGTGTCTATAATAGAGGCACTCAATTGTTAACTTCAAAGACGTGAAAATAATTCCATATAAAAGCTGATTAGAAATGATATTGAATAAAATTTTAAACCAAACTGAAATAATTTTAGTGATAATAAAAATAGCACAGTTATTATAGTAATAACAGTCATGGAGAATTCAATGAAATTAATTTTATCCTAATTCTTTTACATAAACAAATTATGTTTATTAAAATGTATTTTTATAATATTAATTTTACTTTTGCTTACGTAATTTAAACTCCAAAACAATACTAAAGTACGGCTATAGCTAAGAATACTAAATATTATTATTCCATTACGATCTCGTCTATGGACGTGACCTTAATTTAGTAATATACAAATTGTTTTGCCTTATCTAGTGGTTTAATAATTGTATAAAAACGTTGTATAAGTTTTTGGAATGGAAATAAA